CTTTCCCCAAGATGGAGCAGTTCTTTCCAGCTGATCCTCGGCTTCATTCAGACAGCAGGGCCCTCTCAGAAATGCACAATTAGACTATCATGTGCCCTGTCTTTCACTTGAACCCCAATATATTCCCTGCAAACAAAGAGCTCTGGCATCGGTCTGCCTGTCAGAGATAGAAACAATAGTTGTGAGTAAAAGTGCTGATAAGGAAACTGTTATCTTTCTCTTGGTTATTCTGTGATAAGATTTATAGCCCAAAGGCACACCTTTTTTTATGAGCTGCTGAAAAAAACAGTTGGAGTGGGAGCAGCTTTAGCGAGCTAAGTGCTGTGGCCTAGGTAGCTCTGGGACCCCTTGCCCACTGAAGGTATCTCCGCTGCAGGAAGAGGTCCTGTTTTTATGGACTGTTCTGTTTCTCTTGAGCCTGGTCCCACAGAGAGCTCCTCAGACCCAGCATCACCAGCTCAGCACGTGTATACACAGTACTTTAGTTTTCTTCTCCTCCTCACTGCTGGAAAACCTTCATTGGATGTGACCAGACAGCAGCCACTGCTCTGCAGCAGCTTCCCTCATCTGTGGACTGGTGAAGGCTACAGATGCACCTCTTATTGCTGTAGTCCTGCACTTCTAGTCCCTCTTGACCTCCTCGCCTGCATCCATGTCTAACTGAGCTAGAATGTCACTTTCCTGGGTTCTCTCCATGCTACAGAGCTTCCACAAGTCCCTTCAGTTGTGTCCTAAGTATCTGGGAGTTATGAATGACTATAAGAACAGGTTTGGGTTGTTTGTGGAAGAAACCAAAAGATCTTGTACTGCTCCCATCCATGTCAGGCCCTGGAGGGGAACATGATTTAACACTATCTGGGAAGTCTAGGGTCATCAGAGATTGAAGTGATGACAAAATACCTGAAAGGGGAACCTATCCCTCCAGTACTTCCCCATTGGAAATGTGCTGCACTTGTTTACTTACAGGGCTAGCGTAAGCTTTCTGCTTTGACAGCTGCAAGATGATCCAGCACTTCTGACGCTATAGCTGCAGAAGTCAAACTGGCTGTCAGAAGGTGGAGAGGATGCTGTACTGAACACACACATGCAATAGCCCCTAACGCTAAATCCTTGAGGCCAAAGCAAGTGAAGATGCAAAACGCAAGTATCTAATGAGCCTTCATGGCACTGGGACTGTGGCAGAGACATCCCAGTGTATTTTATTGGTTATTCAGCTGTAAAAACCCATAAATTTCTAAAATCGAGAGTGACCTCAGAACTGGCCAGCCATGCGCTCTGGGAGACCAGCCAATGTATTCACTACATCAGGTAATGGCAACAAAAGGCCCTATCTCATCTCAGGATGAAGATGACCATCTGTGTCAGGATATTGCAACAACCCTGGAAAAGCCACCCACACATGGCCAGAGCAGAAGACCTCAAAGCCCAAAACGTGTGAAGAGAGAAAGGAAGACATATTCTGTCATTACTTCATGGAAAAGTCTGGGTAAATGATGTAAGGTCTCTTCATGAGTCATCCATATGTTTGAAATCTTGTTGTGAAGGCTAGGACACAACAGCTATGCAGAGGCATCTCCTGTCCTTGGCAATTTTTAACCAAAGTGTATACTTCAGCCTATTGATTTTGTTTTAGTCTGCACACAGCTGTTTTCAACCTTTTTTGATATGACTAATGCAACTCAACAGAATTGGTGTGACTTCACTCAGATGATGAAAACGAAACTTTTCTGGCTTTAGGAAAGTGAACAGGGTACCAGAGTAGAAAAGCGACTGTAAGAAAGACCTCTGAACTGCAAATAACTATGTAAGGAGCTGTAGGGTTCACCACACAGAAAAAAAACCCAAGCCATAGAGCTCCAGCCTCCTGCAAGTCACAGTGAGGTTTAGCTTCATAATGTGCCTTGCATTTCTATTGGGCAAGTCAAATTCTGGCAGAGAGGGCAGGCGATGCATGAGTCATTCTCTGCAGGCAACTCTAAAAGGACTGCCCGTGCAGAAGCAACTGCATTTTCCTTTATCATAGCCTAAAGGTATAGGAAGGGGGCTTGCCAGGACAGCTGGGTTTTATTACTCATATTAAAATATCTGATCTATATCACTCCACAATACTTGAGTTTATCAGACAGACGACAAAGCAAAAAATTAAAATAGAACAGGTGTGTAGTATTCATTATCCTGGTGGTCGTTTTCCAGAGGAATATTCAAAGCCTCCGGTATTTCTGCTTCAGCTGGCTTCAGGACTGCCTCTTCACCTGTAAAGCATTTAAGAGAGATATCATGTCACAATGGCTCCTGTGCTTTGCTCTTCAATGCTATGCTGAACTAAAGCTTTGGTGGCTGGATGATGCATGAAATGGTTTCTGGTTTTCTGCTTTTCAAATGACATGGCAGCGCCCTGGGTTGCAGAGGAGGGTTGGAGGGAGTAAATCCCAATGAGTTCTCTGGCAGAAGACAATTAAATGCAGCCCTGATGTTTATCATATTCAAGATCTCAGGGCTTGGGAGCTGGATACGTGTGACATGCCCTAGTTAGTATCTGGCCCCAAGCTGCAGAATGGTTGTTTTCCATGGCATGAGCCTGTTACAAGCCTTGTAGCAAGAGGCATCTCTTTCCATCCCCAGCACCGCTGCAAATGCTGGACATGCAGAGCGCTCCCAATGCTCGCTGGTTCGCTGCTTGTTAAAGCTCTGGGCTGGATGGATGGTTACCTCCTTTGGAATATAGATCCCAGGTCCTCCTAGTTTTGAAGCAATCCGTATGCCTAGTTTGCACTGTCTAGTCAAACAAATAGTCTTTCTCCTTCTCAAGCCAGATCTGAGAAGAAGTCATGCTAGCCCAGGCAGCATTCATGATGGCCAGATTTCCTGAACCCAGGTGGCCATCTGATGTTCAAATGAGTTTAGGTCCTGTCCAGCCTCAGCCCATGGAGCCCTTGCTCAGGCAGATCCCAAAGAGAGTAGCTCCCAACAAATGTGCTCAAGCCTCCACCTCTCCCTTCCTACCACCCTGGGGTCAGACAGGTAAGTTGTGGCTGGAGCGCATTTTCACCTTGGCGTTCTCTGGGGACTGCATCCACTTTTCACAGCATCATTACCCTGACCTGAGTCTCGACAGAGAAGTGAGCAGCCTGGTGACCCACCATCACACTGGCTACACACCGGGCCATCAGAGCCACAGTTTCTAATTGTTACTGTTCCAGACAGCAGAGGACCTAGGGCAGCAACTTTCCTTTCGACACCGTTGTGGGAGTCAACACTGTCGCGGGAGTTTACTACAGGCCTCCTGAGCAGGGAGAGGAAGTGGATGAGGTCTTCTACAGGCAAGAAGCCTCATAATCCCAGGCCCTGGTCCTTATGGGGGACTTCAACCACCCTGATGTCTGATGGGATATTCACACAGCTAGGAACAGACGGTTCAGGAGGAACTGCAGAACATTGCAGATAACTTCTTGATGCTGGTGGTTGGTGAGCCAACAAGGGGAGGGGCGCTGCTGGACCTGATACTAACCTACAGAGATGGTCTAGAGGGAAATGTGAAGGTTGGGGAAAGGCTTGGCTGCAGTGAATACAAGATGATGGGATTCATGATCCTGTGAGGCAAGAAGTAGGATTGCAACCCTGGACTTCGAAAGAGCTAACTTCGACCTCTTCAGGGAGCTCCTTGGAGGAATCCCCTGGGCAAGGGTCCTAGAAGGAAAGGGGGTCCAGGAGAGTTGGCTAATATTCAAGCACGACTTTTTTCCAAGTTCAGGATTGGTGCATTCCTACAAGAAAGAACTCGAGCTAGAGGGACAGGAGGCCTGAGTGGATGGGGAAGGAGCTGTTGGGGAAACTTAATGAGAAAAAGAGCACGTACATAATGTGGAAGAAGGGACAGACCACACAGGAAGAGCATAGGAACACTGTCAGAGAATGCAGGGGTGCAGCAAGGAAGGCCAGGGCCTGTCTGAAATTAGAGTTAGCGAGAGATGTCAGGGACAACAGGAAGGGCTTCTATAAATACATCAGCAGCAAGAGGAAGGCTAGGGAAAATATAAGTCTGCTGCTGAATGGGGAGGGCGCCTTCGTGGCGGAGGATGCAGAGAAGGCAGTGTTAGGGACTATTTAGGCAAACTGGATACCCCTAAATCTATGGGATGCACCCAAGGCTGCTGAGGGAACTGGCAAGGGTTATTGCTCAGCCGCTCTCCATCATCTTTGAGCGGTCATGGAGAATGGGGAGGTGCCAGGGGACTGGAAGAAACCAGCGTCACTCCAGTCTTCAAAAAGGGCAAGAGGGAGGAGCTGGGAAACTGCAGGCTGGTCAGCCTCACCCCCATCTCTGGAAAGGTGAAGGGGCAGCTCATCCTAGAGACCATCTCTAGGTATGTCAAGGAAAAGAAGGTGATCAGGAGTAGTCAGCATGGATTCACCAAGGGAAAATGTTTGATGAACCTGACAGCTTTCTACGATGAGGTGACTGTCTGGATGGACGATGGGAGAGCCATGGATGTTGTCTACCTTGACTTCAGCAAGGCTTTTGACACAGTCTCCCATAACATCCTCATAGGGAAGCTTAGGAAGTGTGGACTGGATGAGTGGATAGTGAAGGGGGTTGAGGGACTGGCGGGGGGGCGGGAGAGGGTGGTGATAAATGGGGCCAAGTCTGGTTGGAGGCCTGTGGCCAGTGGGGCCCCACAAGGGACAATACTGGGCCCGGTGCTCTTCAACTTGTTCATCAGTGACTTGGACGAGGGCACAGAGTGCACCCAGGAGCTGAGATCACAGGCTCCATGTCAGTGACATGCTGACAGCAGTGAGCTTGAATCACGCTCCACAGCTTGGAGACCAGGGTGTGCTCCACCCCCGTGACACCAGTCCCTCTTGGTAGCTCACCCTCTGGATGCTGGCTCCTGCCTGCCAGCTCCTCTTCCACACTGCCCGGAGAGATCCCACTGAAGAGCTCCTGAGTGGTCAGCACGGGTGGCACGGCTTGACACGCTGGCATGGGCTTTGCTGTCTCAGCTGGTCTGCTCCTTTCCCTCCAGCACCTCGGGACGAGGGTCTGGCTCTGGGCTGGGCTCTGGTTTGGGCTCCGTAACTGGCTGGCGGCCTCGTCCTCTCCCTGCTCCTCTGCCCCTCTTTTGCCTTTTGCTCTTCTCCTGCTCCCTGCTGGAACATTCACATAGGCAAGGAGTTGGACACGGAGCAGAGTTCTCCTCATCTGGGCTTGGGTACTTGCTCAGGGTCCCAGACCCTCCTACCCAGGGACAGCCTTGTCAGGCCCCAAGATTTGAGTCTCACCTGTCTTTTTTTTTTTTTTTTTTCCACAAAGAAACTTGCTTTTACATTTAAAAAAGAAAAAAAAAAAAAAAAAAACTACCTAAAATTCCTCAATCCTTTGATCTCAGTGCAGAGTTTTTCAGGCTTCATGCTATCAGCTTGAGCAGGGACTTCTCCCTTAAGGAGATGTGCAGAGCACTGCTCAGCCCTGTCACCCCTGAACCAACTGCCCTGGTGCCCATGGTCTCCTCTACCCCCCTGCTCTAGACGAGCAAAGCAAAGTGGGAGCTGCTGTTGGCTTGGGCAGGCAGGAGGCACTTTTCAGCGCCCACCTGGATCCCAGGGAGCAAGAGGCAGGGCCATGGCAAGGGAGATACTTCCAGATCTCTGTCCTTGAGCACAGAGTTACTAGGCTGCTGTGTCTGGGCATAGGTTAGGTGTAGAATAAAATGACTCCGTGGTGTCAGTAAAATTTACCCCAGAACCCACTGAATTGAGTCTTTCTCCTGGGCTTCTGCTTTTCTTTTCCGGAGCAACTCCCGGTCTCTCAAGCGGCGCGTGATGATGACATCTGCAAGAACAAAATGTGTGCTAATACGACATCCTGGCCAAGGCAAAAAATGATCCCTCCCTGGCTGCTGACCCAGGTGACCAGACTCTAGGCTCTTTTTTGTCATGAAGCAGGTCTTGGTAAACAGCAGTTTGGGGAACTGCACTGCCAAAGCAGCACCAGCAGGTAGGAGCAAATGACACTCCATGCTAAGCTCCCAGGCACCTGTGCTGTAAGTTACTCCAGCTTCTTTGTGGTCATTTTCCTCCTGCTGCTGCCGCCGCAGGAGCTCATCACTATCAGGAGCTGGGGCAGACGAGGCATGAGGGCACCATGAAATTCCTCAGCCACACATCAGCACAGGTTGCAAGATAATTCTTCACCTCTAGGGCCCCAGGTACCCAAGTTATGTGAGATGCCTTCATAAACCTAAGTTAAGTCTGTCCATCTAGGCTAATAAAGGTGGCAAGCGGCTCCTTGACACAAGAGACATCTCAGCCACCTTCAGCTGGACAAATGCCTGGACTTCACTGAGGCCCATTCCAAATTTCTCTGCATGTCCTGGAACTAGCAGACAACATCCGTGACCATCTGGTAATAGGCCTTGAGGTTTCTAATCTAGACAGCCCTCAATTTTCTAGTTTGGACTCCAGCTTGTGATAATAAAGACCTGACTTAGATGAGGTAGTATGAAGTCATTCCCTTTAGACAAAGGGCATTGTTCGGTAGGAATAACACTCCCCTGGAGCCTGGAGGGAGAGGGGAATCTTCCCACACATATACTCCCACAAAAGAAATCATGACAGCACAGGTTTTCAGAGTTTCAGCAAAACACACACAATGAACAAGCAACAAAACTACTACCTGCTGCTCACAAATGTAATCCTATTCAGCTCCTTCCCTTCCACGAAGAGCCTCAGCTCACACTAAAATACGAGCTCGTCTCAGCACAGGATTGTCATTTTGCCCTGACCTTGTCCAGCTGGGATAGCTGGCAAAGTGACATGGTTTCCCAAGGCTGAGCTGGGACTGGAGCTCTTGTGTCCCAGATGCTTGTATTAGCTTTGATAAGAGCCTGTTCTTATAGCATGAGATAGGAAAGAGGAAAGCTAAGAATAGGAGCCCAGTGAAGATCTGGAAGACACCCCTCTGGTCCTGCGCCGTTCCCACAGTGAGAAAATTTCCTTTATATTTAAAGGCATCCCCTTGTATATTACATTCTTCACCCTTCTACAGCCTTGGTGGGCCTGCTCTGGACCATCTAATTTTGCTTTTGTCCTTGTCCTGAGCTGCCAAAATCTATTCACAGTGCTCCGGATGCTATCTAATAATAACAACAACCACCACCACAACAAAAGCAATCCTCCATTGTGGTCTTGTCTCTTTGTTCTGTTGTTTTATTGTTGGCATTCGTACAGCTCTCTGTTACAGGAGCCCCCTTTACTCTGAGCACACCAAAGTCTTGCAAGAGAAAACAGCTCCTCTCACAGAAAAAAAAAAAAAAAAAAAAAAAAACAAAACCTTCAGTCTCGCTGGCCCAAAGAGAAGGGACACAACAGGGCACAGTACAGACGTGAGGGCCACAACATGCACAGAGCTTCTTAGCCCTGGCAGAGGTGCCTCCATACGATCAGAGAAGGTGTCAGCTTTGGAAGCGAAAACCACTGCACATGAGCTGCACGACACGCAGCCGGGTGAATATTCCCCCAATGGAGGCTGCTCCGCAGTGCAAAGCAGTGTCAGAGACGTCCCGGGCACAGCCGGCAGGAAATAACTTTTCCAGCCACGCAGCAAAAGGCAGGAAGCTGCCTGGGAAGAGGTGGCTGCAAGTCCCGGCAGCAGGATTTGCACAAGTTTAACCACTTAATCCCTTGCACATCCCTGTGCAGGCAAAACTTGCCCCCTTTCTCTTTCAAAATGACTAGAGAGCAGAAAAAAAAAGGAAAGAAAGAAAGAAAAAAGCAGTTTTAGATGCTTGCAGTAAGTCTCCTTCCCAACCCATCCGGAGCAAATTGTTTTTGCACATCTGGAAAACACCCCTCATTCATTTCTAACATGTCCAGGAGTGCAATCCAGCAGCTGCCCCGAAGCTTCCTGTCACCTCCCAGCACTAGGCAGGAAAGACCTAAAAAGTCTAAAACGTCAGCAACCTGATGAAAAATACCTAGCTAAAATGCACAAAAGTACAGAGGTGAAATGAAATAAATCCTTCCAGCCAGAAGAACAATGAAACTGTATTGCCAGTCTACAGGCTATTTTGACAGTGGTGGATGGATTTTATCCAAGTTGAAAATATTTTTATAGGTCCTGGAATACAATATAGAAAAAAAAAAAAAAAAAAAAAAAAAGGATTTTTGCAGTTGAATGTGTGTCCACCACTCCCCAAGCATCAGCCTGAAATTAATAACTCTTTCTTTACAAGCCACTAATTACAAGGAATATTAACTCTTCAAAAGTCTGAGTTAGGGGCGGTCTCGGCATTACCTGGCACAGCGTATTCCTCAGAGGATGTAGAAGGTGGCAGGGAAGGGTCCGAGTAAGCGTGGTCTTTACCTAAACTCTCCATTGCTCCTTGTGGTTTTAAATAAAAAGAAGCTTAGTTCCTTGGGAAGGTCATCTGGAGTTAGTGGTGTAACCAAAGGAGAGCTTGAAAAAAAATGCAGACTGCCCGCCCAAAAATGCTTATCTGGCCAGGCCACTAGCAGGGTAATAATATTCTCCTTATCGTGGTGCAAAGGTGTGTGAGTGTCTGCCCAGGTCCTACTGTACTGATTGCAAAACATGTTAGTGCTTCTATGTGGCAAGTAATTCAACTTTTCATAGGAAATTTACACTCACTGCTGCTAAACTGTGGCTCGGATGTTGTTTGAGTTGGACCGACAGTTGGCTGGATGGCAGGGCAGGATGCGGCCCCGTCTCTCGGTTGATTCCCAGAGATGCAGAGAGGTGTTATCCAGCCCCAAAGACCTCTTGTGAGAGGTGTGAAATGGGACATAAACTGCTCAAAATGTTTGCCCGCAGGCCCCGAAGCAGATCATAGGGCCCAGCAGTGCTGGTGGGAAGGGACCTGCGTCTCCAGTCCTGCTCCCTCATTCACAGCAGGACTGTCCCTAACACTAGGTCCAGGTGACCATGACTTTGTGCAACCAAACTGTGGAAATCCCCAATGACTGGGTTTCCGCTCAAGCTTTCTGGTGACTTGTTCAAGAGCTGCACCGCTTTGATGGGAAATCCAGACAAATCAACAAATCAGCAATGTGCCCTCATGGCCAAGAAGGCCAATGGGATCCTGGCCTGCATCAGGAGGAGCGTTGCCCGCAGGTTGAGGGAGGGGATCCTGCCCCTCTACTCAGCTCTGGTGAGGCCGCACCTGGAGTATTGGGGGCAGTTCTGGGCTCCCCAGGACAAGAGGGACATGGACCTTCTAGAGAGGGTCCAGCAGAGAGCAACAAAGGTGATTAAGAGACTGGAGTGTCTGTCATATGAGGAAAGACTAAGCGAGCTGGGCCTGTTTAGCCTGGAGAAGACTAAGAGGAGATCTGATCAATATCTACAAATACCTGACTGGTGAATACAGAGAGGGCGAGGCCAAACTCCTGGTGGTGGCCAGTGAAAGAACAAGGGGTAATGGACGCAAGTTGAAACACTGGAAGTTCCATCTCCATGTGAGGCAGAACTTCTTTACTGTGATGGTGACAGAGCCCTGGAACAGGCTGCCCAGAGAGGTTGTGGAGTCTCCTTCTCTGGAGATCTTCCAAACCCACCTGGATGCCACCCTGTGCCCCGTGCTCTGGGTGTCCCTGCTGGAGCAGGGGTTGCACTAGATGATCTCTAGAGATCCCTTCCAACCTCAACCACTCTGGGATTTTGTGCTTCTGTGATCTGTAGAGACTCCCACCAAGGCATTGATGAGGCTGAGGATTCCCAAATGGCTCGTAGGGACTCTACCCAGTCACCCATAAGCTTGGAGCAAATCATCCCTCATGGAGCAGGCTGGCAGTAGGCAGCACCACTAGATCCAGCGGGAGGAATGAAGTTGGACCTGTGCTCTCACAGGAGCATATAATTTATTGGTTATTCCTGGCACACTCCAGGGTCGGTGTGGTCTGAGGGCTGGGGCACCTGGGTCATCCTGTCCCTGATTCCTGCATGTAAAGCAAGGCAGAAAATCAGCCTTCTACTGCAAAAAGCCTTGAGAGTTTCTCATGCAAGGATGCAACAGGAGTGTTCAAGATTACACACACGTAAAACAGCTCTGTTGGACCAGGGTAAATCACAGCTTTGGAAGCAGTTTCTAAAACTTTCAATACTATTTGGGATACAACTTTTACCAGCACTGTTCTCCATGTGATACTCAACTGGTCATGCTCAAGGCTGTCTCTGAAGCCCATAAACTCACTCCAGTGCACTCAGGTTACTGCAGGAGTGGTACGAGATCCCTAAAATGCAGCTACCACTTGGATCCTCATGGCATCAGCCCACTGTTCACGGCAAGGGTAGTGCCTTCTCCAGGGATCCCCCAGAGGAGCGCTCCCCAGGGTCTGAGCAGATCAGGCCTGCCTTGTGTCCTTGCCAGACTTTCCTTCAGTTCAGTTTCCCTCTTTAGGAAAACTGGAAAGATTCCTAGAGTTCTTTGGAAAAGCTCCAGCACCACTTCTGAATTGCAACGATGGGTGGCTTTCTCAAGATGCACTATTTCCATTGCTGGGCCCTGGCAGACTGTGGTCACCTCTGCCTTTCTGCTTATCCTTCTCGTTAGCCCTGGGACTCCTCCTCGCCCGTGTCCGGCGCAGATTACATGCCATCTCCGTGGAGGTGGGGCAGGTCTAACAGCTTCCAAAGGAGCAGCAGGGTGGTGCCAGCAGAGTGGCCGTGGCAGAGCTCTGATACGGGAGGGCGGGCCAGGAGCTCGCGTGGCACGTGGAGATGTGGGGCTGCCAGGGGAGAGCTTCGCTCGCAAGAGCAGCAGTGCCGAGGACCAACATCTTGGCGGCTGAAGCAGCTCCAGCAGCTCCAGCTGGGGCTCAGCTCAGCTCCTGGCCCCCCCCGCACCGTGCACCGAAGGCAGGAGGACCCCATTGCTCTGAAGCCTGCTAAGTGCTGATAAGTCAACCCTGACTCAGCAGAATATTGTCATATGACACTGCAGAGCTGCCACCGCTAATGTGTTTACTTGTGTTTTTTCACACTGCAAATCCTTGCTGGGGGGAAACCAACAAAATTGTAAAGGTCGCCCCTAAAAGAAAGAACAGTTGTTGAGAAACTGGGGCAATTCAGCCAAGTGTTTGGCCATGACACCAGCCCGGGGCTATTAGCAGCTCCTCGAGTGCCTCTGCCACCTCACATGTGCTTCCCTACCATGCTAGCCCCCTCCACAGCTTCAGTTGCCCAAAGCCTGGAAGCTCTTGTTCAGGGGGACAACCCACCAGTCTGTCCCCCACACACGGCACCAGCGCGGCTGACCCGGGCGAGCACTCAGCGCTGTGCCGGCCGCGTGTGGTTTTCCTCTTCAGAAGCACCGCCAGCTGCCTGTGTTACTCCTTCCTAACCTCTGTAAACAAACAGCCGCATCCCTCAGGGACATGAGGCGGCCGTGTGGGGGGCGCCATCTCCATGCTAGGCCTGTGGCACCTGAGTTCACCATGGGGCCTTCTAGGGGTGGTGGCTGCACCTAGGAGCTTCCTTCATGTGGCGACATGGGGAGCTGTCCGGAGAAGAGGCAGCAGGACAGACTGGCTACCCCAGCCACAGCAAACACGCCCGTCACTCTCTGCTCTTCCCCTCGCAACCCGGGCGCTGAAACAACAGGCAAACAGGATGCCTGTTGACTGAGGGAGGCCCAGAGGGACAGACCTGAGACAGATTTTAAAAGACAAGTACTTTTGGTCCAGAAAAAGGCTGGCATCCTGAGGAATTCTGCAGATTTGCGTTGTTATCACCTAATTCTCCAGGTATTTGCTGTTGCTCAGTACTGAACTGAGGTCAGATGGATCCCTAGTCTGACCAAGCATAGCTGCTTTTATGGTCCTCAATCCTATTTTCAGCCACAACATTGAACTGCTCAATGATGGCCTTGCCTTGTATTGCAGAACTGAGGCATCCCTGACAGTGGCTACAGGGAGGTGCTGAAGAGGAAAAGGTGTTTTTTGCTTGGTGGTGGGGGACTACATGACCAGCTGGCCCAGTAGGATGGCGATGATGTTGGACTCACAGGGTGGGCACTGACTACAGGGAGCTCATCTGACCGTACAACTCAACCAGGACCCTCCCACAGGTGCTTGTAGATGAATTGAGTGGGTACAGTCAGCAAGTGATAGCAGCTTGATCCCTTATGGTGAGCATAGGCCTGTCCTTCAAGTGTTCTGATTCACTGTGAAGCACTTTTCAAGGCCATCTAATACACTGCTAAAGCAGATCAGAAATCTCAGTCAGTTGCTGTCCAGATGTACAACATCTGGAGCAGATGAAACTCAGTTTCCTGAACTGGGTTCAGGACAAGAATTCTAGCTTAGCCAGTGTCCTCTGATCTCCATTGCTGTGAGCAAAAGGAACTCCTCACACACCTGGCCACTGTCCCAAATAAGACAAGGGAATTGGAGCAACCTAGGCCTGAAACTTGATGGTTGATCCTGAGAATCTCCAATTGGCAGAGAGCAATCCTGGGGAGTCAGCACCTTGGTTCAGTTTGGAGGACCCTCCCGAGCTGCAGTGGAGATCTGGAGTCCCTGGGTTCAGAGTGTCCCCTCGGGCTCTCTGTCAGAGCTCCCCTTGTCTTCTGATTGCTCCTGTGCAGCCATTCTGGTTGGAAAGCTGAAGAGCATCTAATAAGAGAAGTGCAGAGGTTCCTGCTGTCAGTATGAATCAGTTCTGGAAAGCAAGGTGTTTACCAGGGAACTAGGGAAAAGAAAGTCATATTTTCC